TGAGGATGTTTAGAATACGTTTTTGTGCCCTAATTCTCAAAGTCTTCTTCTTTCACATATTCCATTTGAGTCCACGTTGAAAGGTTAGACTAATTTGGTAGATTTGTCGTTTTTTCCATGTTTTGTGCCCTACTTTTCGAGATGCACATCTACGAAAGGAATGGTGTGTGGAGATTTTGTGACAACAATGAGTAGAGATTTGTTGTTGATGAAAAAAATCGTGGGAGATTGCTCAATTTGGAATCGACTATAACTTTCGAAGAGTTAAAGATGTTGGTTACAGAAGACTATGACATAGATCAGAGTACATGTGATGTGGAGTTAAAGGTGTTGATTACAGAAGATTCTAACACCAAAATTCATCAACTATCTTGAAACAGATAATGTAAATAAACTAAGATGACAAAGAAGAGAACACACTGAACAAAACACAAATCCTACCACAAAAAATTATCAAACTTTCTCTCACGAAACCCATAAATTCAACAAAAACTTATATACAAAGATCTGTTGAAATCTACATGCAATTTCAATTGATATTTATGTCTCTAACGAAATTGAGACATCTAAAAGAAGAAGGGATATCGAGACAAAGCTTCAGTTTCAATTTAGAAAACAAAATTAGATGAACAAAAAAACCAAAAACACTAAGATAAAATATGCGTTTACCGGCGAAGACAATCAACCGGAGGAGGAATCGGGAGGAGGAGTGCCGGGAATCACTTCGACGGCTCAGAGACAATCAACCAGAGGAGGGAACGGGAGGAAGAGTGCGACGACAAAGGGTTTCGTTTTCACTCTTTCACGATTTGGTTAATGAGGAAAAAAAAAGGGGGTTTTATGTGGGAGAAGTCTCCAATTCAAGTAGAGGGTTTCATAAACCACAAAGTTATCTGAATTTCGTAAATTAATTAGGAAATAATTTTTTTTTTTTGTTAATTACAATTTCGAAAATATGGGGGTAATTTTGGGTATTGATTTAAAAAAAAACCTATTTCACCAAAATTTTTCTAGAAAAGTATATATGAACATTTATCCATTAAAACATCCTTTAATTCTTCTAATTTTTCTAGAAACTTCATAAAATTTTGACGGGATAGGGTTATATTTAACTCAACTCTTACACATGTATTTGCTTAAACTGTCGGATACAAATATTACCAAAATTAGATCGTGTCCACTAATTACGTTTCCATATTTAAAAATAAAGATATTTAGAAGATTTGGTTTTGATTTAAATTTATGATTCTCCTTTTATTTTTGTTTGATTATTTTTTTAACTGTTTTGAATTATCATATCATATAAAGTTCAAAAAAATCTCCATTTTTTTCTGCATATATTGTGATTCAAAAATTTTAAAACGAACATATATTACCCAATTAATGAAAAAGTTTGTGTATAACTTCCCACATCGGGTAAAATGTTTAGACAATGATTCAGAGTCCAACAACTCGAGTGATTTTCATAAACATTGTGTTGGATCATACTGTGTAATTTTGACCGCAACGGTTGTGTCATCTTGACAACAATACAATGTGATTGAAAATATATTTGAGCTTTTGATCAAGTACAACCAGTGGTGGGGCCGGAATAATATGTTATGCGGTCATATATTAATATAATTAAATAATAATATTAAATTATTTATTTTTAAAAATAATATTTTTAGATAAATGTTAGCATTTAAGATACTATTTTGGCTTTTTAATTGAAATAAAAATAATTGAGAATAATATTATTATTGCAACAAATTTCATACCTTCTAGGCTCTGGCTGGTGCATTTTATAGAAGAAAAATTTATCCTCTAACTTTTTCTGGACCCACCACTTATATTATTGTTACCAAAGAAAAAAAAAATTTGGAATAAAACTTCCTTCTTCTTAATACTAGATGAAATAAATCTTCTCGGTTCCTCCATATTTTTCTTCTATTAAAGTAACCAGTCAGAACCCTAATTATTTTCCGATTAAATGAAAACATAGTTTTAGAAATACTTAACTCCTCATATTAGATTTGATTCATATGAATGTACAAAGCAAATTTGCCATGATGTAATATCTCATTCATAGCCATTAATTTGACAATTAAACTGCAAATAAATGTTAAGATTTGACCATTTGACCAACTTAAAATTTTGAGTATTTGACAAATTCAAGTTTAATATGTAAATGTTTTTAGGCTTTATTAAATAACCAGATTAAAACGAAATCGGTCGGGTTGTGCAAGATCCGACACTAACAACCATCATTAATCAAGTTAACATAATTTTAATTTGACTCAATTTAAAATTTTTAGGAAATACAAATTTTAATAATAGAATTCAAGCTGTTTAGGCACTTTGCAAACATTTAGTAATTACAAATTAATGTTGAGATTTGATCATTTGACCAATTTAAAATTTTGACCATTTGACTAACTGAAAATTACCTAGTTTGACTCAAATTTAGAGAAAAATAACTAGATTAACACCCAAATATTGTGGTTTACTAGAATAACACAATTTTTGTGTCAAAAGACCAAATACCCATTTTATTTTTAATTCTACTAAAATAAATAATTAACATATAATAATTATATTAAATAGAAAATTAAAAAATACAAAAAAATTATAAAACTTAAAAAAACGAAAATTAAGGAGGGGGTATTGAACGAATGAATTTGGAAGAATTTAATAGAATGTTCAATTCTAGTGTTATTCAATTATACATTTTATTAATTCTTTCAAATTCTAGTGTTATTTAACTTCTTAATTTCTTAATTCTATTAAATTCTACTGTTATTCAATGTTATGTAGTTTTCTATGAAAAAATGATTTGATAGGAATTTAATAGAAAAATTAATGTAAAATGTGAAAAACAAATTCTGAGCCTTTAAGTTGAGATTTTGAAGGAATGTATAATTAACATTATACTACTGGCCGTGGCTTTAGACCGGCCGTGACGGTAACAAGGAGAACGGCAATAAGACGGAGTAGTGTGGCCACATGCCGACAGATCTCAATCCCTCCTCTCTCTCTCTCTATGTCTCTCTCATCAACGCCTTACGAGTTACGTCATCATTATAATCCGATCCTATCTCCGGCGGCGGCGGCGGCGGCAGTAGGTCATAAAACGTAGTGAGGCGGCCGATCGTGAAACGGTCGTGAAATAAAGGGCGGAAGAGAGAGAGAGTATTCAACAATTGGGTGGAAGCAGGCCTGACCAGTCACAGACTCACAACCATTATACCCTTTTCTTCTCTTCCTTTGACTTCCCTTACGTAGTGGGAACAAATTCTACTAAATTTATTCTATTCTATAAAAATATTTAGAAAATATAATTGTTAGAATTAAAGAGAAAGATTTTAATCTTTTACGATCCTTCAAAATCTACAGTTTATGTCTTTAATTCCATTTAATTCGATTCTATTAAAATCTTCAGTTGAATACCCCCTCCTAAGAAAAAACGAAAAAAATATATATAAATTGAAAAAACATAAAAAATAAAAAACGAAAAAAAAACAAATACCATTTTATTTTCAATTCAATTCAAATAAAATAATTAACATATAATAACTAAATTAAATAGAAAATTAGAAAAAAATAGAAAACGACAAAAAAATATAAAATAAAATAAAATACAGAACAAAAAAAAAAGAAAAAATATAAAAATATATATATATATTAAAAAGAAAAATATATATAAAAAATGAAAAAAAATTATTTTTATCATATATTAACAAGGAGACAACCACACATGAGCCATCTATTATAAATAAGTCTGTCGCGATAAAAATATGTATGTCATTACCTTATTGTGCAGATTACAATTCTATTTTCATCAATAAAACTGCCATCATACGACATATTTTTTTATAGTCTATTTGAAATCTGTCGTAATATAAAAAAAACATATCATAACATAAAACATTTCGGTTGTGAGTATATGTCATTCTAGCCATTTATATTTTTATATAACAAATCTGCTATCACACTCCAGATTTTTGTGAAGAAAAAAAAAATTGTCATAACATAAAATAAATCTGTTATAACTAATAAGTCAAACTAGTAATTATTTTTTTATTAACAGATCTGCTACATTATGACAGATTTTTATCAAAAAATATAAGTCTGACGCCACTAAAACAATAAATCTGCCACATATTTTAATAAATCTGTCAAAATTACGAAAGTCTGTGGTGTCATCATAAAATAAGTCTGTCGTGAGAAAAAAATCTGCTACAAATTAAATATCTGTCGTAACCTATTTTAAGTAAGTCTGTGGGAGAAAAAAAATCTGTCGCAAAAAATCTGTCATAGAAAAATAAGTCTGTCATGGAAAATAAACCTGTCACAACTAACCCAGCAGATTTTTCAAATAATTTTTTTTATATATATATATTTTTTCCCCACGTTTTAAAAATATATTTAAGGGTAATTTTGACTTTTTTTTTATTCCTAACAAAGAGAGAAAAAGTATTATGGTCATAAAAATAACTCATTTAACCCCCAAATTTTTTGAGACATTCTAGTAATTAAACTCATTATTTGGATTAATCTAGTAACTTTTCCTTTGACTAATTCAAGTTTAATATGTAAAATTTTCTGAGCTTCGTGAAATGCAAGATCTGACACTAACAAACAACGTTAATTATCAAATTAACATAATTTTAATTTGACTCTACTTAAAATTGTTAGGAAATAAAAATTTAGTGATAGAATTGGAGCTGTTTAGGCACTTTTGCAAATGTTTAGCATTTAAATAATATTTCTTTCCTATTGACTATTAATAATCATAAACATTTATATCTAAAATCTAAAACTTTCTCTTTTCAATTAACGTATAAAGGCCACGAGTAAACTAGCTAACCTCGTAGACTTGTCCGAACAAGGTAAACTTATTTAATAAAAAAGTTTTGTTTTTTCCTCTCAATAAATAATTATGTTCAAAAACGGTTTTATTAGGAAAAAAATCCTTCCATTTGAATCTAAATCAATCTTGACCGTTGGATCAAATAAATACAACCGTTAGACCTCAGAGGCGCTCCTTCTCTCATAAAGCTGTCAAAAATCTCTTTCTCTTCTATTTTCAGAAATCGAAATCTCTTGAAGAAGCTTTTTGGCGATGTCGAAGATGAGATCTTACCTGAAACCACCTCTTCCCAAATCTCCGATCCGTCTCCGATCACGTCAAGTCCTTCACTCATCTCTCCAAACACCATCACCAGGTAATTTCAAATCTCTCCATCTATTCGATTTTTCTCTCGCTTTCTTTGATTGATTTCCTCCAAATCTAGGTTTTCAGAAGCCGGGACGGCGATTGAGTGACGTAGATCTAAACCCTAAACCCCAATTCGAATACTCATCAATCTCTAGCGAGATACATGCTTTAGCAAAGATGGTGAAAGACGAGTTTGCGGAAGAAGAGAACCGAAAAAAGTCGAGAGTTGCGGGTTTTGGTTCGAATTTGGAGAGTTTGGCGACGAATTCGGTTCCGGTATTCGAGAGAGGGAGGTTTTACGAGGAGTATTCGGCGAAGAGGAACGAGCGATTGAGGAGGAAGAAAGGAGAAGAAGCTGTTGAAGGAGGAGTTGTGAAAGGAACTCCTTATAATCTTGGTGTGAATCATGAACCGATGACGAATAAGCGAAGAGGAACGGCGAAGAAGGAGAGTATTAAGAAGACGGTTGTATCGATGGTTGAGACTAGTATACCGAGGTATTCGTTGAGGAGTATGAGCAAGGAGAATAGGAAGCCACCGATTCCGCTTAATGTCGCTGTAAGTGCGATGAAGACTGTTACTACTCGAAGAGGTAGGAGAATCTGAAACTGAGGTGATGTTGCTTTGGTGTGTTTTGTAAGGAATTGAAATTTGGGGATTTGGTTTCTTGAACTTATTTTGGTATTGTTTTGCTTGTGGATTTCGATTAAATCCGCTGATTTTCTTTAGGGGATGTTTTTGTTTTCTTGATTACAGATGATACATTGAGATAAGCTTTACCTACAAAATGTTTTATTTATCAAATGCTTTTTGGATACCTTACTTTAGTAGCTTGCTTCCCTTTGATTTACTATTACAAAGAATTGAGTAGATTAAAGCCACTTTCTTTGAAATGGGTTTACGTTTACACACTCATCATTATAGATAATTGGTTTACAATGGAGATGGGTTTACATTTTATGTTAGATCTATGAAAGTGTGAGGAGAGGGATTAAAGCCACTTTCTTTGAAATTGGTTTACATTTTACACACCTTTAATCTTAACTAGTAGATGAGTTGGGTTTCTAGAAATGGAACAGACTCCTATAGAATTATCAAATGAACTTGGTTTAACACGAAACAAAGCAATTAGACGCATACATGAACCGCAACCACTCCCATCCAGCGCTCATTGATATGGAGGATCCTAGTGTGTCAACTTTCTTAGTTTCTTATACAACTTTCCAAGAATTGACAATCAGCTTTGAGGACTTATCAACAATTTGTGTGTGTGTTTTTTTGGATAATTTGTAGAGTTGCTTGTACTTCCTTTACATAAGAGTTAGAATTTACAGAGGAAAATCAATAGTATAATACTAAACTCAAGAGCATATACAGATATACAACAAACATCGGATTGATACAAAATCAAATGAATTAAAAAAAGATAAAACAATTTACGAATCCTATAATTACAGACTTACAGTACAAGATGAAAAGTTTAGAACAAGTCTAAATTTGTTCAGATTTGCTTATGAGTTGTATAAGAGCATTTGCTTTTCTTTGAGCTCTGTTTGTTCCAGATGTGGTTATTTCTACAAGATATTCATAGACGCCGAATTGAAGCGCAGCGAGGATAAAAGATGAGTTGTTAGAGCCTAGTTCAAGTAGCACCGAGGTCGCACACTCTTTGTTCTTCGGGGTGCCTTGTCTGATAAATTCCACAAGCGTTTCAATGAAGGAGAGTTGTCCAATGGCTTGACGTCCTTCAGGGTGTGATGCAAGAAGCAACAGAATCGAAAGCGCTTCATCGATCATCCCTAAGTTTCTATCTTTCAGAAGGTTGAGCAAAGGTTGAACGATTCCAGCATCAATGGCTCTCCCTTTATTAGCTGAATTAAGGGATAAGTTAAAGAGTGCAGTGAGAGCATCTTTCTTCCCTCTTAATGTCCCATGCTGCAGTAAATCGACTAAAGGCGGGATCCCATTTGATAATCCGATAGTTACTTTGTTCTCATCGAGCATCGATAAACTAAACAAAGCTGCAGCAGAGTTCTCTCTTGCCTCTCTGTTTCCATTTTGAAGGATTTCAATAATGTTTGGAATAGCTCCTTCATTTGAGATGAGTTTCTTGTTGACCTCATCGATAGATAGATTCAACAAAGTCGTTACTGCGTTCTCTTGGATTCCAGAATCAGGGTAAGAAAGGAGTTGAACTAACAGAGGGATCGCTCCTGCATTCGCTATTAAAACTCGGTTCTCGGGATTTTCTCGTGCGAGCAAACGCATCTGCTTCACTGATCTTCTTTGTTCTTCCAAATGGCTTGACGATAAAGCTTCCACCAGCAAAGATACCTCATCTTTCTGCTCATTTTCTGAGTGGGGACTTGCTTCTTTCTCTGGAATCTTGAAATTGTTCTTCTCACACCACTGCATAATCAAGTTCTTTAAGGCATAATTGGGTGCAAGAGAGAGATGATCTAGCTCTTGTCTAGTTTTCGGACAAGTCTTATGCCCCGCATCAAACCATTTCTGAATACTCTCCTTTTCATATGTCTACAAAACATGTATTGTTATGTTAGTTTCAAGCATGAACCAACCAAGAATCACATCAAGTCATATTAATTACCTGTCCAGTGGCGATGATAACCGGATCTAGCATTATTTCGAGAGTGATAGGACACAAAAACTCGTGAGGTAATATTAGGGAAGTCGACTTGGTGAATGCTTTATTGATGACAGGTTGGTAGAGAATGTCGGTAGCTTCAAGACCTTGAAGCTTCTTGAACTTGTTAAGAAGCTCAATGATATGTTGTTTAGTCTCTATATTCAACCCTCCTTTTTCTTGGATTAGGCTTTTTATGGCTATGGTTTCTGTCTTCAAATCCTCCGTTGTTTGTAGCTCAAGCTTTTTCGCAAGCCTCTCGATTATAGCGCTATCTGCGTTTCGAGGATCGGTTTTTGAAAAGACCACCATCATGTCTACTGCTAGCTCTATGTCTTGTGTATCTGTTCTTCTTTTTGCCTTTTTCAGTTGTTTACACAATGCATCAATCTACAACAACAACAAAAATGACTCATTTTTTAAACTATACAAGGTATAATATATTCTTTTTTAGGTTAAAATTTCGCAGAGTTTTGGGCCGAGACCTATACATCTCCGCAAGAAGTGAACAAATAATATACCTCTTCTTTCACATCTTCAGAAATCGTCAATTCGTCAAAAGGAGTTTTAACAAGAACACGATTCAACTTTTCGTAAATCGAATGAAACCTCGTCATCATTGTTTCGCTATCCAATGCCTGTAATCATAATAACAACCACAAACAATTAAAGACTACGTAGGAGACAATTAATAATCATAAATTTTCACAAAAGTTATTTTTACCATATAGATTTTGCTGCCATTGCTGCAAGTTTCTAATAATTTCTTAGCAACAAGAATCACTTTCCTCAAACGATTTACAAAATGCCTGCAACTTGGTGAGTCAAATCCTCGAATCTCTTCCAAAAAAGGAATCAGAATCTTCAATCGTCTTACGAGGTTAAAACATTCTTTCTGTTGTGTTTTTCGATAACCGTTAATCTGATCCAAAAACTCGATAACCGATACGATATCGCTCACCAATCCATCACAATCATCATCACCATTTTTCACTTCTTCGTCATGAATCTCCACCGCATCCACAGCCTCATCGTGGATCGGTTCTTCTGCGGTAACTTCTTCCTCAAGGTTCTCTGCATCTCCTGTGGATTCTTCATCTGCGTCCATCACAATGACCATTAGAGACTCTCTATCGCGTTTGAATTGATTCCAAAGATGTTGAAGGAAAAAGCGAACGTTAAGGAAGTTGTAAGCTTAATTTTCGCTTGTTTCAATTTTAGAGACAAAAGAAAAAAAGATTTGTTTTCCTTTCTCAAACAATTTTTTTTTTTTTTTTGAAATGTGATTCTCACAAATCAGATTTTTGCGGGACAGGACATATATCCTAAAAGAGTGCTTCTCCTGTGGAATCAATGATTTTTTAACAACTAAAACTTTGTTTACATCATCTTGCCAATAGGCTCTTATTTATACAAAGATATTACTTGCATAGCAAGTTCTTTACATTTATGATAATAGTAAATCTACCTATTTAACAATAAAGAGATATACACAAATGTTAACTTTCCTAATAATAATAAGGAAATATATTCAACTCGATCTCGTAATCCCGAGATCTCTCATCCACCGTCGATCTTCCGATCTACGCTTCTCTTTCTCCCAATACCCCCCGACAAGCTCATACGTGGTAACACGTGTGAGATTGGACAAATTTTCAAAATAACGGCTTTATACCCGGCCGTCCGGTCATCATCGACGTTTATACCCGGTCGTGGGGTCAAAGCGGCTATAATACCCAGCCGTCGGGTCATCGACTTCTATACCCGGTCGTGGGGTCATCAACGGTGGAAATACATCTTTTGTAGTTGTGTATCTCCATCGATTTAAAATCACAAGGTCGCTCTTCGAACTTCTTGTACATGAAGAAACTTCTGTAATTCGAATTCGCCTCCAATAGATCAGCATCGTATCCATCGAAGTTATCTTCGTGGCTTCCATCAAAATAAATCGTTTGTTCATGTCATCTTTTGAAGTGTGTGACATCAACAACGTCTTCTTCTTCATGATTCTTCTTCTCCAAGGCACTAGCAACTTGCTAGTTATAAAGAAATAAATCGTGGCCAAAAAAAATCTGACCGAATCGCCAACGTAATCCACCAACACTATGATCACGTCTCTCTCTTCTCTTCTCTTCTTCTTCTTTTCTTTTTCTTTTTCTTTTTTTCAATTTTTTAGAAACGAAAATAAAAATGAAGAGAACATAAATAAAAGAAAATCAATGGAATATGTTTGATTTTCCAAAACAAAGCAACGAAGATCAAACCATTTTTAAGTTAATTTTTTAAATAAAACGCGGAAGCTAACGTACTAGAACCAGTATCCACATGAATAGGATCAAAGCTCTGATACCATGATAAGTTTGGAGGAAACTTTAGTAGTAAAATAGTTTCTCTCAAGTTATTCATTAGCCAATAGGCTCTTATTTATACAAAGATATTACTTGCATAGCAAGTTCTTTACATTTATGATAATAGTAAATCTACCTATTTAACAATTAAGAGATATACACAAATGTTAACTTTCCTAATAATAATAAGGAAATATATTCAACTCGATCTCGTAATCCCGAGATCTCTCATCCACCGTCGATCGGGACAGGACATATATCCTAAAAGAGTGCTTCTCCTGTGGAATCAATGATTTTTTAACAACTAAAACTTTGTTTACATCATCTTTCTCAAATTCGACCATCCTCTTATGATTACTATATATACACTACGGAAATATGACTATAACCAAAAAAAGTTTAATAATTAAGAAAGTAATTACACTTCAAAAAAACCAAAGCGATATTGTACATAATTTATGTAATAAAGACAACTTGATCCTTTGTTTGAAGTGCACGCTCTTCTTTTTTTTACCTTTTGCGTGAGACATCTTCTCTCTTTGCCATAGTTAGAACTTGAATTGAGGTCTAGTTCCATAGAAATTACAGTTACGAAATCTGAAGTTTCTAACTTCTTCTCCGATAGTCCCTGTATAGTCTAAAAGAGAGAAAGTCGGGTAAATTGCGGCTACGTCGCCTAGGGTTTCCTTGGATTTCATCTGGGGGCTTCGATTTACAGAGACAAGATCTCAATTTTTGTGAGATTTATTCCAATTAAGTGGATGTGGTTGGTGTCTGTGTCCCATGCTACCATTGAATTTCAATCCCAAGTGTCGTACATGTAGT